CACATGTAATTTTTTGTTGCGCTTGAACATTTTTTACTAGCAATGTTTCAATCGCATTATATTGCATATTTGCATGATGTACTCGTACTTGGGTTTACTGCATTTTTATGTATTTTAGTTATTTTTTCACTTAGTTTGTATGCATTTTTTTTGCAGCGCACACTAGACATTAGTATTAGTTATGTGTTTATATGCGAAATGTGAATATAAAGTTGTTATTTCTCATTGCAGGTTTATTTGATATTTTTTCCATTAATTCTATTAGGTGTAGTTTTATTTTTTACTTCTTTTACTGTTTCAAATAAAACAGTGTTTTTATATTAAGCTTTGCTTATTGTTGATCCTGGTAAACATAATAAATTTATGTTATTTTTATGTAAAGATTTGAGCTCATAATGCATTTTTAGTTTACATGATTTTGTAACAATATAAGTAGGAGCTCATATCCAACTTATGTATTTCTATCTGCAGTTGCAGGCAATGTTAGTACTAAGCTCAACATTATACTCATAGATAATGCATACTACAGAAATTTTACTAATGAATTTGGGTTTAGGATTTAACCTAAATTAATATATATTTTTAAATTTCATACATAATTTATCTTTCAAAGTAGCCATACATAAAAATAAGGATTTTATGTGAGTTCTTGCCCATGTAATTTAACAAAATTAACTAATTTACAAAATAAAGGAGTTAGTATTAAATTTTAAATATTTAAAAAAAATTTTATGTAAAAAGTTAAATTATAATTTTAATAAAATTTTAAATTTTGTAGGGAGGTTTCAAAAAGCAGTGAACTACAACAACAAAAAATCTTTTTATATTATTCTAATTAATTAAATCTTTGATTGACCACACAGTTGTTAATGTTTTATAAATTAGAGATGTGAGGTTGCTTTTGAGAAATCATTGAAAGTTTCTTCATGATGAATATATAAAAATTCTTCAAAGAGGGCAAAATATTGCCTTAAGAAAACTGGTTAACGCCTCATGGTATGTAAGAGCAGCCGATATCCACAGAGATCTGTGATTGGATTCAGTTGAAAAATACATTGAAGATCGTGCTCTGAAACTGTTCAATGCAATTGACAGTCACAATAATCCAACACTCAGTATCCTAAAAATACAGCGAAATTTGATAAACACAGGCAGATAGAAAGACATCAGATCCATCATATTATAAAGCCCCGTAAAGCCCCGTATTTAGTGTGACTTAAAACTGTCCACAGATAAAATAGAGTAAAGGTACTGATTCACCAACTCAGATATCTGAATATCAATAATAATAAAAAATATATATCAGAATTTTCTTTCAGACAATTAATTTTATATATTTCAGTTTACGCTAGATCACGCCTTAAAAATACAATCTATAGTTAATATATTGTAAAAATATCACTGAAAAAAATGGTTTCTAATACCTTTCCCCTCCTTCACTCAATCAGTGGTTATGTCACTGATTCTATATAATTTTACTTTGGATATAATCTGTTTAATACTTAACTCTTTTCCTTACCTCAAACTATTACGTCCATTCTTAGTAAAATTTTTGAAAACAATGCAATAAGCTTTGGCACCTTATCCAGTTTAATTTCTGCTT